GATGAACTGCTGCTCATTTGAGATATGATGATTCGTCCTTTGCCCTTATGGCCCGAACGTGCTTTGACGTGTTGAGATATCCCCATTAAGATGATTTATGTCATTTCGTGAGTCCCGTGTGTCGATAAGCCGCTACCCATTTGAAATGTGAGAGACTCAATCTCTGCCCGATGACTTAGTGTAACTTTTGAAGCATTGAGACTGTTCCCACACAAAATAAACTTTCTTTTGATTGTCTATCCCCCATGTCATTGATAATATAAGCGAAACTTCTTTTATCGAGAGTATTCTTGGGTATCCCTCAAGATGTAATTAGCTAGTACGAATATGTTCCTCTGGGAGTGTTAGTGACCCCAGAACAGGTACATACACATAACTCTCTGGTTATGGATAGTCTATGTTTCGTTCCCGGATATTGATTTAAGGTATCTCCACCCAATCTTGTTTGGGCGGACATTCTTGACTTATCATTGCGAGGTTTATCGCACGTAGATTTTCAACTTTTTACTTTTTCTCTTATTTGTCTTTTTATCGCATGTCTCTTTTTATTTGGTTCCTCTCCTCTTCAAATCACTGATCAGATTCGAGAGAGATATTTATTCGAATAAGAGAAGTATACGATGATCGACAAGTTAAAGGCTCTTTTTAAAATAAAAAAGAAAAAAATGACAAAAAATAACGTAAAAACTTTTGATGTTGTTACATGTTGTTCTCTCTCTTCTGAGTGTGTTTAATCTTTGTACCTTGTTAAGAAGATAATCAGTTGCTCTACTGCCACGAATTTTCTTGTACGCATCATTCTTATTCCCTCAAAAGATGAAAATTTTCAATTAATTTCAAATGCTTGTTATGTGCGTAAAATGAATAACAAACTTTTGAGTTTGGGTCAATTCTTAGAGAAAGGCTATTTTATTGCCATTGATGATTGTCAAGGTGAAAAATGTCAAAAATAGATTGTTTTCTATTAGTATTTAAATGATGCTACAAATTGTCTCAGGACATGTTAAAATAATGCATTTTGGCTTTGGAATCTTCATTTTAGGCATCTCAATTTTAGAAAACTAGAGTTGCTATCAAATATGGGAATTGTAAGAGGTTTAACTACATCATTCAAAGTGCTTAACTTTGTGAACGATGTTTAATTAGAAAGTGATTCAAAAATGCTTTCAAAGAAGTCAAATTCAAGAGCTCAGAAGCCACTCGAATTAAGGCATATAGATGTGTGAAAACCAATCAATTCTTAACTCACTGGGTAAAAGCAATTTTTCCTGCTTTGCATTTGATGGTTTTTTAATAAAATCATGTGTGTTTTTAGAAGTAAAAATCTGCAATCTTTAAAGCATTAAAAAATTTCAAATTCTTGCTGGAGAAGGAAAGCTCTCCAAATCAAATCCGTGAGATTTGATTGATAAGAGTTCACTTCAAAAGAATCTCAACAAACTATTGAAGTGCCTAAACCCCAACTACTTCATCAACTAAAAACGATCATGGAAATTCACCACAATGTTTTGTGTAGAAGATTCCTTTAAGGTCTCTATAAAATAATTGATAGCTTGATCTTGCACTATTTTATCTTTTTTTCGGTTGTTAGCAGGTCAATTTCCAAGAATTTGTGCAAGAAATAGAGAAATATAATGATTCAAGAAACTATGATCATCAATATAAAATTTGTTGCTAAAGGCTATATAATCAAGAGCTGGACTTGACTATTATGAGATATTTGTTTGTATTGCGTCATTAGAAACTATTAGATTGATCATTTTGTTGATAAATAAAAAAATAAGAGAAATATATTTCAAATGAATATTAAGTCTACCTTCCTTATTGTAGTCCTTTAAGGATAAGCCAAAATTTGATTAACCATAAGATCTTTAATTCAATGGGCAATTAGATAGATGTAAAAGTTGAAGAAAGGCCTTTATGAGTTGAAGCAATCACTAAGAGCATGGACTAGTAGAAATTGTGAGTACTTCCTAGTGAGTGGATTCACCAAACCTCTTTATGTCTTGCTCTTTATGTCAAAGTTTAAGATGGAGATATGTTAATATTTTCTCTATACTTAGATTATTTGATCTTCATCAAGAACAATTCAAACATATTCAAATAATTTAAGAAAGAAAACATGGCTAATAGCTAGCTCATGATCTTGGCATTGGCATTAAAGCTAAAAAAATTAAATTTGTGACATAGGAAGGTTATGCTAGGGAGATTCTCAAGTACTTTAAAATAGATAGTTGTAAACATATATTCACACCAATGAAATGCAAGGTTAATTTCAATATATAAGGAAGGATAAAGTTTAGATCTACACTTTTCAAAAGCTAGTTGAGAGTTTGTGGTACTTGGCATATGTAAGAAATGATTTCCATACTGTCTGACTCAATAGTCATTACAAAGAACATCCAACAATTACCTATTTTATGATTGCTAAAAGAATTCTTCACTATCTCAAAGGTGCAATAAACTTTGATTTACTTCATTTATTTTCTAAGGGTTTTAGTTATGTTGGATATAGCGATAGTGATAGAGATATAGATATAGATGACCGAAAAGAGCATGTTAGCTTAATTTTTTTTTCCATGGGAGAGGCTGCCTTCATCTAGCGTCGTAGAAATATCCAATTGTAGCAATCTCAAATTGTAGAGTTGTATGCATAGGTATACATTATGTTTTTTCCATTCAATTTGACTGTAAAATTTGTTGAAAGAATTAAATGTTGCAAGATCCAACCAAAACTTGTATATGCAGCAAGGGAACAATACCTTTGGCCAATAATGTCGTGCTTCATGATCAAAGCAAGCATATTCATCACAAGAAAGGAGGTATAGTTAAAATTTGTGAGATCACAACATCAAGTTGCCTATAATTTTATAAATCCACGCAAATATGAAGATTTTCTATGAATAAGAAATTTGTTTGGTATCGTAAAACAAGTTTAAGAGAGTGTAAAAAAGTAAACTTATTAATAATTTAAATGTGAGGTAATGGCATATGATAAGTGTGTATGGGTAAATTTGATTGTTGAAGAATGAATAATTGAGATTGCTTTAATAGATGAATAATATTTGGTGTGATTAAATTTTCAATATACATACATACATACATACGTGCGTGTGTGTGTGTGCCGCTTATCCCGGTCTGTTAGTTGGCATCCACGGTATAGAATCAGGGGTTCAGATCTCCTCTGACACAATTGGCCTTAAGGAGGTGGTAGTCGAATTGTTAGACGTATTATGGGTGGCTGGAGGATCGTATAATAGCCTCTGCCCATTACTTTCTCTTTTAACTATATATATATAATCAAGTGAAAAGCATAGCTTCTAAGATATATGAAGAGGAATAGAAGCAAAACTTTGAAAAGAATTTATTGTGCGTGAGTTTGAGTATTTTATTTTGTATGGAATTGGGAGTTGAAGTTTATGAGAAATTGGATTTGTGTGATAAAATTTCAAACTCTACAATTTATCGTAGTAGTAATGAATATATATCTTCCATCTTAGGCTATGATTGTGGAATTTAAAAAATGAGTTGAAGGTTCGCTGCTAAGATACTCAAATTGGAATTCTTTAGTTAAGCCAAATGTAATGCTGATGAAATGTCCAAGTCCATTAAGAAGATTGTTGCAAAGTTTTAAGAAAACCTTCAAATTTATCGTACGCTAACGGAATTTATTCATAACATCAAGACAAAATGAAAGTTCTGCAACCATCCTTAAACCAATATCTCATTACTTAGTTCACGTGGTGGGTTTTCTCAAGTTTCTCACATCAACTCCTTTTATACGTAATCCAAACTAGCAATGTCTTTGGTTCTTGGCTGCTTCAGCAGTTCATCATAAAGTTGGAGTATGCTGTACATAGACAAATCAATGTCAATGGACTCCATTGGACATTTATTTTTTGTAGCCAATGATTACGTGTGAAATATAAGGCTAGATATGCATGAGCCTCTACAAATATACAATAATTTCCTTGTTTTACATTTGATATTAATAATTTTATTTCATTCTCGTGCATCCCAATCAGTATTGATACTTATCTGTAAACTTCATATATTACTGTCGGCTACATTTTTAAATCTTCAAGTATGAGAGGCTTCTTTTATGTAGGAATTTTTATTGTTGCACCAAGATTTAACATTTATAGAATATTGTTGAGAATTAATATCTACATTTATTATCTAAAAATATAAATTAGATTCATAAAAAAAAAATCTTTATAATATAGAGGTAGATATATATTTTGCGTCAAGGGAGGCTCATAAATTACATATACATGTGAATAAACTCATTTTAGTTTCATAAAGCTACTTAGCTTGTTTGAGTTACTTCTAGGAAGCAAATGCCAAAACGAGCTAACAATCCCCCCCTGTATATTAATAGCGAGCAACCTTCTCATTTCCCAAACATTAATCTTTCTTTCGAGCTTAGTATTATTATAATTAGTATTATGGCTTTCATTGATTTGAGCTTTATATAACTAAATCCATAATTATCGAGATTGTTATGTAGAAATCCATGCACCGTACAATTGATTCCCTAGTTGTGTATATTGTGAATTGTGTGATTTGTCTTGTTGTTCGTACACTTATTCTGGTTTTATTTCATATTGTAATTCCACCAAGCTTCCTTTTGCATGTCCTTCCAAAAACTAATCCCCAATGTTAACGTTTTAAAAAAAAAATTTATAAGGTTACAACTTAACACCTCATGTAACATGCATGCATTTCTCCATTCTGCTACATTTACACAAACACACAACAACAAATGACATCAATGGCCTTTCACAACCTTTGTGGGCTAATCTTTGAGCCACTTCTTACTGCTCATCCAATATGTTTGAAACCAAGTAGCTGATCTCTGTCACTGTCCTAGCGTCCTTATAAAAGCCATGGAATCCAAAGTAAAACAACTAAAGCATGCATCTCACTAAGTGTAAAACCACCTCTATCTTTTAACTAGCAACTCTTCTAATTGCTAATAGTAATCAGTATCTCGCTTCTCTATGTCTCTCTCTCTTTTACTCGTGCACACACTTTGCACACTTAGCTTACAGAAGTATGATTACATGAAACCAAATCTTTTCACAAGAGCCATAACCCTAGAGAGAGGGCCAATTCCACTGCATGTTTACTTCATCTTCCTCTTTTGCCAATTAGTTTTTTGAGACTGGCTTCTACCAATGGCTTTTGCTCTTTACAAAAACTTCAAATCCATCATAAACACCACTTTCCTCCTGCTCCTATGCTTCTTCTTCACCTCCCACATTCGATCTCCCACCACCTTCATTCCTCTCTCGTCAACCAGCCATGGGTTAACACCAAGAGGTGCTGGTTGCTTTGGCCTTCAAAAGCTAAAGGACTCTCATTCAAGATGCCTTTATCTCAAAACACACCACCCCTGCATCACTCAAGGCTATTTGAACTATCTCCATATCTTCTACTGCTCGTGTGGGAGGTATCCTGCAATAGGCTACTCACTTTTAGCTTTATGGCTACTAGTCCTATTCTATCTCTTGGGCAATACTGCCTCTCATTACTTTTGTTCCTCAGTGGAGAACCTCTCGAGAGTCCTTCACCTATCTCCCACCATCGCCGGAGTCACCCTCCTCTCCTTGGGAAATGGCTCACCTGATGTATTTGCAAGCATTGTGTCATTTCGCTCGGGCTCCGGTGAGGTTGGATTAAGTAGCGTGCTTGGTGGTGCCTTCTTTGTGTCGTGTGTCGTAGTTGGTGTCATCAACCTTTGTAGGCCTTCTTCCATCAAAAGCATTGGAGGGGGTGGAGTCTCTCCATCTGTCACCACTACTGCAACTGTTGCTGCTACTATTTGTATTGATCGAGCTAGTTTTCTTCGTGATGTGTGTTTTTTTATCTTTGTCCTCTCTTCCCTCCTCACTATCCTCATCGTTGGCAAGGTGACCATATGGGGTTCCATGGCCTTCACCTCTCTCTACTTTGTCTACGTCTCCATCGTCTCTGCCACACATTTCTGTCGTGAGAAATATGATAGTCTTGTCATTCCCATCCTCGACACTGAGGAGCTCAATGAGCCAATTTCTGCCACCAAGGAAAATAACTCTTCCTCCTCTGATCATAACCCACCCGAGAACCCATCCAATTTTCTTCAGCTATGGATCCTTACCTCACACTATCTTAGTTGGCTTCTCTACTTCATTGAGCTCCCCCTCTATCTCCCCAGAAGATTAACCATACCGGATGTATCCGAGGAGCGATGGTCAAGGCCCTTTGCGGTGGCCTCTGCTGGCTTGGCACCAATATTCCTTGCTACTTTATGGAATTCAAAGAGAGGAGGAATGAGCTCGAAGGAGGGGCTCACCATATGTCTCTATAGTGGCTTGATAGGGTTGGTCATGGGTTTGATGGCCTTGCACACAACCATGAAGGACAATCCACCAAGGAAATGCTTGTTCCCATGGCTTGCAGGAGGTTTCTTGATGAGTGTTCTTTGGACTTATGTCATTGCTGAAGAGCTTGTGGGGTTGTTAGTTTCCTTGGGTTACATATTCGGGATAAGCCCTTCCATTTTAGGGTTTACTGTTCTTGCGTGGGGAAACTCCATTGGGGATTTGATAGCGAATGTGGCGATGGCAATGAATGGGGGCCAAGATGGGGCCCAAATTGCGATATCCGGGTGCTATGCTGGCCCAATATTCAACACATTGGCCGGTCTCGGGTTGTCGCTGGTGGTGTCGGCTTGGGCCGTGCATCCCGACCCATTTGTAATACCTGTGGCCCCCGCATTGTTTGAGATTCTAGGCTTTATGATTGGGGGTTTATTGTGGGCTTTGGTCATCTTGCCAAAGAAGGAGATGAAGCTGGATAGGGTTTTGGGGATTGGGCTATTGGCCATCTATTTGGGTTTCTTGTCTTTGAGGCTATCTCAAAGCTTGGGGCTTATCCAGTTTTGACAGAGGGTCTGTTTTGTAATTTAACTTAATTTGTTGTAATAGTTGAAGGGAATTTTAAGATGTGATCTTCTTTTTAATGCTTTAGTTAGCATGCTAGCATTTTAGAATTCATTTCTCAAGATGTTCAATGAAGTGTACTCATACTTCATGATGTAGCCTTTCTTAGATTATGCAATGTGAATGCTACTATTAATTAGCGCTGAGAGTTTTGATATATATTATTATTTATTGATATGTTTTGACTTATACATTCAGATTCATGACATAAATGTGATAGCAATCTAAATTAGACAAGTGGTCTAAACTTAGAAAATTAAGATGCCAAACACAAGGACAAAAAATACAGCATTTACATCAACACCCCATAATTTTTATTTATTTACATATCTAACATCCAAACACTCATGTTTACATCTTTACCACTCAAATATTTAACATCGCATCAAAAATATAAACATCACTATCTTTTAAAAAACGAAATATAATCTTTTAAATGTTCTACATAAGAATTGCATGGTATGTATGTAAATTTCTTAATTAAAATTCATGAGCTAAGCTTTTTGTCTGAACATCTTTTGGTAACTTTTTGTGGTTAGTTTGCTCAGATATCATATTTAAGGTGTGTGTGCTTGTTTTAATATTGTGTAATTATGACTCTAATATAGACATTGAATCTGTAATAGGGATAAAGTATTAAATGTATGATTGCGATGGTCAATTTAACTCTGTTGCTACTCTTAACCAAATCAACTTGTGTTGATATGAGATCAACTCGCCCAAAGAGCTGAATTTGCCTCACGAGAACTCCGATGAGATCAATTCTCCTAAGAAGATCAACTTTCGCTATCTTCAATTTAGCTTGACAAGGGCGTTACCGAGGTGAATTGTTGTAGATGAAGAGAAATAATAATCAATACAAAAAGTTATGCGTATGTTTGGGGTAGCTGCAACTTATTGAATAATCTGTTGATAAGCTAGGTGCATGACTTTTACAAATTTTTATTTTTTTTAGAAAAGCCAGATCGCTGCCAGAAAGCTACCACTACGCCTAAATAGGTGCAGTGTGAAAATGTTGTTTTTAGCATTTTCAAAACGCATAAGCTGCCAAAACGCAATTTTCCTAAAAATACCAGGTGTGTTTTGTAAACGAAATCACACTAAATAAGCTGCCCCAAACTGGGCCTAAATGTAGTACTCACTGCAATATCAAAATTTTAGTGAGATTAGTATGCTATAAATATTTTATTTGTAGCATATAAATCAGTTACTCTATCAATATGGGTGATCATTGTAATTGCATATCTAGAGATTAAAAGATTTATTTTTTCTCTCATTTTTCTTTTTATTCTGGCTACTTATTTGGTGGAGTGGTTTCACGGACAAATGAGAATCAGATATATGTAAATATGTTTAATGTTTGGTCATGTTGAACAAATGACATGTACTCTCAGCATTGTTTAAATTATTCATTATAAATATTGATTATATGTAAATTCATTGATTGATGTTAATAATCTAATATAGTATGTTTGTATGCACCTGATTGATCGATGAGGTTTATTTTAATTTGGTGTTGGATGGGGACGCTGAAATATTCTGTCATATAAATTAAAAAAAGTATTTATGCTCGTTTATCTACATCTTCTTTTTAAGCCGCTCATTTATTTTGAGATTCGTGCTAATAAATTTTTATACGTACAATATATATATATATATATATATATATATATATAATTTATTTATTTATATTCTTATATAACTATTAATGTCATATTTAGGCATATGCATGAATGAAACAAAGGAATGATTTCATTTGATTTAATGTTATTTTTTATTAATAGTTTAAAGTCATCAATCAGACACATCGAGTTAATAATAGTTTATTTAGAAGAATAAAGCTTTTTATCATTTGATATTTAATTAAAAAGTTCAGAAAAGTATATAGAATGTCAGAAATATATATGTGTTGATAATTATAATTTATAAAGTAAACTACATTTAATATTTATTTTGGTAATTAGTGAAAAGATGTTTTATGCATAGCTTCTCAGTTTTTTTGCAATAGCTGTGCTGTCCCAAGAAGCTGCTGCGGGCTAGATAATTGTCTGTTTGATACAGCTGTGTGAAACCAGCTATCAGGCAGTCTTAACATTTTAATTTATGTCATGGATATTTTGTTCATGTGTCTATTTAGAGCTTCAAATGAATTGATTCTCAATTTTATTATTATAATAAAATTTATTTTTACTGAAATTCTGGAAATGGGAGTAATATTAAAAATAAAATAAAATCTTCGTTTTATTTTTTTTATAAAATTCTGTAAAAGGAATAATTAAATAAAGCATTTTTAATTCAATTATTTTAAAAAAAATCCGACCTGCCGGATTCGAACCAGCGACCTAAGGATATCTGTTCCAAACTACAGTCCTCCGCTCTACCAACTGAGCTAAGGTCGGTTTTCACATTTTCTGAATTTTTATTTATATAACTCTATGTAATTTACCTGAAATTGCTTTAAATGTCAGTTTAATTGCATAAAAATTAATAATTAACTTAAAAGTGAATTTAATTCTAAATTTAACCGTTGGTAAAATTATGTTAAAAATTAATGATTAGAGTATTACCATTTATACTTAAGTGTTGCTTGATTTGAAGGACTTTGGGCATAAAATATTGCTAATGTAAGAATTCTAAAAAATTAGGCTTTTGGTTCATAAAAATAGATTCAAAAAACAATTTAGATGAATTTACGAGCTACACGCTAGTTTTTCAAAACAGGATTATTTTGGCCAATATTCGAATACATTGCAAGTCGTTGTCGCTCCCTACTGTCTTTGTCTTTGTCTTTGTCAACTACTGCTATCCTTATCACCATTATTGGTCGGGCTATTTAGTGAGATGTGATTTCTAATTTATTTATGGGATGTTTTAATAGGACTCTATCATTCAAAAGGTTGTGATTTCTAAAATATTTTGGTAGGACACCATTATTGTAGCGTGCTGGAGTTACAACGACTGACAATTATTTGTTAAACCCGACTTATATTGAATCATATCTATTACTAACCTTTCTTTTCGTCATGTTCACTTTTTCTTGACTTGATCTCATCAAATTGTTTGTTTTTAATGCATACAACTTCGAACATAATATAAATCACCTTCATCTAATACTTATTAACACTCTAGTTATGGGAGCATAAATGTTTTTTTTTTTTTTTTAATTATTGTTAAGATAGCTATGTTGCTGAAATAATATGATAATAAAAATTGAGTCATGGTAGGAGGTGAAGGTCAGTTGTAATCATGCTCTCACATAATTCCTTTGAAGTGTAAGGACCATTGGGTGTAATAAACCTCTATTCAAAATAATGAAATAAAAGGTAGGCCAATCTCAAGCATGATACATATCATTAAAAAAGAAATGGATATTATTTCGCTCTTAAACTGACATTTTGTTTCGTATATAATTTAAAGCCCGTGTTGCTTCAAGTCCAAATCATAATTCTTTTTCCACGTGGATTTGAAAGTCGGTATTGTTGTTCATATGTTTGGGTAACCAACGTGTTACAGCTTCTCTTTTTAAGGGCAGAATTATCATTTTTCTTGAGTGCGTACATATGATTTATTGAGAATTATGTCATTATTTTTTTTCAATGGTTTTAGTTTTATTTACTTTAAGTATTTGGTAAGAAATTATTGGTGGATAAAAGTTTACTAAATTGTTTAATTTGTTAAATAAAATATCAAATTATATTTTCTAATATAAAATCTTATTTTGATATGGAGTAAATAATGCCAAGGCAGATGCAATATATACTTTAAAATAAAATAGGAATTTTATTTTTAATGTGTACTTCAATAAAGGTAAGAAAATTTAGGGGCATTAGAAGGCATACCACTCAATTTTTATATATTTAAATATCTAGTAGATGAACCCTATTATTATTATTTTATTTTATTTTTATTTTTTCATATTTATATCAAATAAATATTTTTATTAAATAAAAAAAAATCACTGTTTTAACTTTTAAAATGCGATATACACATTTTCATGCATAGATAAGATGACATATACGTAAAAATTGAAATTTATGTGGTGGACATATAAATGCACATGATTTAAATGGCATGTATTTAAATAATCTGAATATTTATGCACATTGAATATTTGATATTATGTGGCTATGAATGCATGAAAATTTATGAAGCAACCAAAACAATCATGTACCATATTCCCCATTAATAATTCAATGTTTGCCAAACCAATAATGTACATATCTTATGAATATGTGGTGCTTGTTCTTTGTAGCCTAACATATGAAATGTACTTACCTATTCAACATGTAAATTTTTATTTTATTTTACATTTATGCCATCCAAATATTTCACATCACATTAAAAAAACATCACTAGAAATGCAAACTTTCATACATAGATATGTAAAAATTGATCTATAAGTGTTAGATATGTAAATAAAGAAGAATTAAGTGCTATCTATGTAAAGTTATGATTCACTTTGAGGTCACAATTGCTTAATTGTAATATAAATCAAAGTTATAAAATAACTAGGAAAATTTACATACATACCACACAACTCTTATATATTTACATATCTAGCGCCTAAAGTTTAATATTTGTGCTCATGATAACCTGTGGATGAGGAAGATGTATTTTACTTCTAAGAAGCTAATAATGATGGGCTTTTTTGTATGTGATGATAAAGTTTTGAGTGCTATAAATGTAAATGTGAAAGTTTTGGTGTTAGAAATGTAAATACATAAGAATTGTGTGGTATATATGTAAATGCCCCAAAAAAGTATTGTATATATCTATATATATATATACATACACTATCATAGTTTTATTGTTTATGCTTTCAGCCTTAATTTAATTTTGAGTTATTGTTCAATTAATTATAAGTTTATACAACGTGTACTTTTCTTATTAGTTATGTATTAAATAAATCATTTTATTATAAATATTAGTATATATTTTTAGTACTTTAGCAAGAATTTATAGAGATTATTGTTATAATATATTTTTACTATGAAGTATATTTGTATTCGTTAATTTCGGTACTTTGTGAAAAATAAGTATGCACATATACAAGCATACATAATGCGTGTATCTCATGTATGTATGATACTTAAGAAATTATTTTGATGTTTGGTGTGTGCTAGAAGATTTGCGGCGATAGAGTAATAAGTATAATATTATAGCATTGCACAAAATCTAGTAGACACTCACGTAATTAAAGTCTTTTACACCATAAGTTTTTATCTTGAAAATCTTAGAAAATGCAAAAACAAACCACGAGGCTTAGCCTAATTGAAATAGTCTTTTATGTAATGGTGAGCACACATACTCATTCTTCTTCTGAGTTAGGGAAGACGAAATTGCAAAATTGATGTACAACAATATTTAAGCAATAACAGTCGTAACAGGTCAAAAAGGTCATAGTCGATTGTCATGAAGGCAATAGTCTGTCGTAAATGTTGTAGATGAAGGAAGTAAAACTAGCTTACCGTAGCTGTTGTAGCTGAAAGTCATGGATTAGTTGGTCATATGGGTCATAAATGGTTACTCCAAGGGCATTGGTTGGCCATAGAGGTCATAATAAGGAGTTGTAGGAGCTGGGATAAAGTATGTAGGCCGTAGAGGCCATAGTTGAGACTTGCATGAGCTGTGAGCCATGTGGGTCGCAGTAGTGATCTGTGAGCCATGCTTATCATAATGATGAATTGTGATAACGTTCGTAGGTGACACAAGTCAGAGTTGAGAGATGAATGAGTTCTAAGTCATATAGGTCATAGTTGGTCACATAAGTCGTAACGGGAAGCTGTATAACTTCCTTAAACAGTCGAAATTCGTAGTTGTATGAGTTGTAAACCACACAGGTCGTAGTTGATCACGTAGGCTATAGTGGTGAATTGTGCTAATGCATGTAAGTTAAAATGGCCAATGTTGAGAACTGCAAAAGATGTGATAAAGTCCGTAAGATGGAGGGGTCGAAGCTAGGAGCTGCATGAATTGTGGACAGTGCAGGCCATGGTTGCCACGTAGGTCATAGTGATGGGCTGTAATGAGAGAGCTTCAGGAGTCTGGAAATAGTTATTGTATCTTGAGAGTCGCAGTGGTAAGTAGTTAGTATGTGTTGTGCTATTACACCATTTTTTGAAGATAATGTTTCACCATATGTGTGGTGCATGTTATTGCATCATATTTAGGATGCACTGATATACTGTCTTTGAGGTGTGTCATTGTCTTATCTTTGGGGAGCATCGTTGCAATACTCTGTAAAAGCGTCTCGTTAATCTGTAACCTAAGCTAAGATTTCGTAGTCCACGTCGTAATTCTATAATAGACTTTGTTGGATGAGCAGGAGGCGGCAAACGGTGGTCGAAGTTGGCGGCGAGCAGTGATCCATGTTGGTTGGCAACTGCCGACGAGTGGTGGTCAACTACGATTGGTGATTGCAGTGGTGGGCGGCATTCGCCGGACCTTCGATGTAAAACATTGGAGCTCAGCTCATTCTCCTCCAATTTTCAGGCTTCCTCCAGTACAAAATCTAGTTCCGCTTTCATGAAAGGGGTAAAACTCTAGTTATAGAGTCTGAGAAGGTATTATTGCAATTAAAAAATTATGTAATTTCATCGGAAGACCTAGAGATGTTACATTAATCAGATAAAATTTTGCAAACATTGAAATTCCTTAACTATGTCAAAATAGAGTATTATTTGGCTTGTTGGTTTCTTCTCATTGAGACACTTGATTTAGTTACAAACTTATAAGATTTGAAATCTGTTTGACATTCTAATTGTACACTAGAAGTAGTCAAAAATATTTTAACTGTTTGATTTAGACTTGATTTGCCTCAAATCTGACCAACTTTAGTGTCACTGTTTTTCTCATCAACCCGATCAATTTGACTATAAATTTGCTGAAATCAAATTTCTAGATGACCGTCTAATTAAAAACTTAACATTCCAAGCTCAAAAAAGTATCTCAAATTGATTACGTAACCAATAATATCGATCATCCCGTACTCTGTTTTTCTATAGACGTGGGTGCACCACATGCATTCTCGACATATTATCTCTCATGAGTCATCAGATCAAAATATCACTCATAAGTGACATATATATATATATATATATATATAGTGATTTATACTTCACATGCTTATAGTACTTAATAGATTATTGCACAACTATTCACCTTAAATGATTTCAGTTGGGTGGTTAGATATGTTTCAAAAAATAAATATTAATTTGCACCGTAAATCCACATTCGCAGTTTGCACTCTGCTTTTGCTATTTTATTATTTTAAAAATTTTTAACCCTCCAAAGCAGCTCCATTTGGCAGCAGCCGGTCTTAGATCCGACACTTGTCCTTCTCACACATCATCCTTCACCACAAGCGTCCAATCCGATCGAACCATCCCCAATTCCTCCCCCTCCGTGTCTCTCTTTCGAATCTCTTCTCCTTGTCCTCTTCCCCACCCACCGCCCAAACCCTAAACAAAAACAACCCGAACGCGGATCAAGACGCGCCACTGTAGAAGCTCAAAGGCGTCGCCTTTCTTCCTTCCCCACGCCTCCTCTCCTCCCCTGCTTTAAATCCCATCCGCCAAAACACCATCTTTTGATCTCTTTCAACACCCATTTCTCCCCTTGAATGGCACTCACTTCTCTCAACAAATCCATTGATGTTCTCGTCAATCTCTGCTTTCTTTTCTCCTTAGCCCTCTTCCTCTTGTTGTTCTTCTTCCTCCCTTTCTCTCGCCCCTCCCCAATTCACGGCTGCGAAACAACTGTATTTTTCAATCTCAGATCCGCTGATTCATCCGACCCTCACGGCTACATCGACTATCTCCACCTCTTCCATTGTGTTTTCGTCAATTCCCCTGCTCTAGCCTTCATCCTTCTCGCTCTATGGCTTCTCGTTCTCCTCTACTTACTCGGAAACACTGCATCTAATTACTTCTGCTCCTCGCTTGAAAGCCTCTCCAATGTCCTGCACCTCTCCCCTACCATCGCCGGCGTTACCTTCCTCTCCCTCGGAAATGGCGCGCCGGATCTCTTTTCCAGCATAGTCTCTTTCGCCGCCGGAGGCGGCAAAAGCGGCGTGGAGATTGGCCTCAGCAGTGTTCTCGGCGGCGCTTTTTTTGTATCCTCCGCCGTCCTCGCAATAATCAGCATCTCCGTCAGCCGCTCATCCCGCCCTGCAATTTCCATCGATCGTGTCAGCTTTATCAGAGATATCTGCTTCCTGATCGTGACTCTCTCCTTCCTTCTCCTAATTCTGATTATCGGACAAATCCGCATCTGGGAAGCAATGTTCTTTGTCTCTCTCTACATCATCTACATTATCATGGTATCAATGAACCACTGCTGCGGTAAAGATTCCGGAGAACTCAGCATGCCATTACTAGAATCCATAGAGGTTCAACAACCGCAGCAGACTGATAAAGAGATCGATTCATATCTCAGCTCTTTCAACTCAGATTCCTCTGTTCCAAATCAAAGCTGGCTCCTTTATCTCATAGAACTACCTCTCTATCTTCCAAGAAGGCTAACAATCCCCGTAATCACAGAAGAAAGATGGTCGAAACCATTCGCAGTAGCTTCCGTGACCCTCTCACCAATTCTTCTGGCAACATTATGGAACTCTCGGGGAACGGAGATGAATTCAGAGCACAGCACCACCGTCCTCCTCTTCGCTTCTTTACTCGGTTTACTTCTCGGCGTCGCAGCAATGGAGTGCACGGCAAATTCCCACCCACCAAAAAGACTCCAGCTTCCATGGCTCTTATCCGGCTTCCTGATGAGTGTTGTCTGGACCTATATAATAGCAGGAGAGCTGGTTTCTCTTCTGGTTTCCATAGGAGAAATACTGGGCGTCAGACCTTCGGTTCTTGGAGTTACAGTACTGGCGTGGGGGAACTCACTGGGAGATCTCGTGGCCGACGTAGCCATGGCCGTTAATGGAGGAGAAAATGGAGCTCAGGTTGCGGTTGCGGGTTGCTACGCAGGTCCAATTTTTAACACGTTGGTTGGATTGGGAATATCGTTTGTTGTTTCCACAGTGAAAGCTTATCCATCGCCATTTGTGATTGTGAGCAAGGATGATTCAGAATTTGTGCTGATTGGGTTTCTGATTGGGGGATTTTTGTGGGCTTTGGTGATGTTGCCCATGAAGGGGATGAAGCTGAGCAGGGCTTTGGGGATCGGTTTGCTGGCCATTTATTGCTGTTTTATATGCATGAGGGTTCTTCAGAGTTTCCAGATTTTGAACTTTGGTGTTTCTCTTAATGTATAGTTTGCTGTTGATGTACAGTTTGTTGTTTCGAAGAAATGAAAAAAAAATTGAATTTTTAGCTATTTGTATCATGAAAATTTTGCTTAGTGGTCATTAATATGAATGATTTGCCTTTTGCTTTGATTTTTCTTTAAGGTCTGAATTAACATTAATCTCAGTGAAAGAATGATTAATTATTGTTATTTACTTAATCCTGATTTGAGCCGAGAGTTAATGGAATCAGCCTTGTGTACGATCAGTTGAAACCTTCAACAGGAAGGAACCATGCGATGCATAACAAAATTGTTTATATAAAGATAAATAAATAAATCATCTATTGTTTGTTAATTCCCTGCAAATCTCTCAGATTTGAAAAAATATTTTAAAATATTAATTATTAAATTGTTATATAGTCATATGAATATGAGATTATCTATGAAGCACATCTAAAAATAGAACCTAAATGAGGGGACAAAGAGAGATAGAAATTGATAAGTTCATCAACAAATTATTATTTGACATGAATCTCAATGCATGACACAGATTGTCTCGATGAACGTTTTTGAGAAAGAAACGCTCAAGTCTCAATAAAAAAATCATTCAGAGCTCTGATTTAACTATAGTCAAATTGAGTGGCTTGCCAAGTCGAACATAATGTTACAAATTAATGGAACAAAATCATGCCCTAATCAAGACGTTAAACTATATTTGAAAGTTTTGCGGACACATTTATAGCGAGCTCAAAGTCGAATTGAGCTTCTCGACAAGAAGAATTCAAATAGCCAAAGATTACTCAATTCTGACATCATTAAGATATTCAAAAGTCCATCAAACAATACATGATAAAAGAAAGTTCTCTTGACCGTCCGATTAAATTGATTCATATTTCAATATTAATTGCACCTAGAACTCAATAAACAAAGCCCCAACCCTCTCATGAGAGGGGTAGAAAGAACTTGAGAATTGAGGAAGAACTTGAAGCTTTGAGAAGGAGCTAAAGTCTAACATCACTTCTGTCATTGTCAATCACCGCTGAACAAAGTCGACCACTGCTTATCGGCTGACATTGATCACTATCAATCACCACCTATTTCTTTTGACAAGTTCTTCCACGCATCAACATTGTAACTTGGAAAATTGCTCTTTCCCACATGTGGGAGAAGGGGTTGTACTTATAATATTTACTTTAAAGTGGATCTCTTCAAGTAAGCCAAGTCCCGCGGTTTTTTCCCATTACGGGTTTTCCACATAAAAGTTTCTGGTGTAACTAATAGTTATTTTCTCTTTTCTAAATATTGTTGAATCTTCACACCATGCTAATACGATAGTATATTAATCTACTGTCATGAATCTTCTAGCACAAATCATAAATGAACAGTTATTGAGAAGATAAACAATGCTGATATTACATATTTTTTCCTTCATTTGGAAAGGGTTTGTACTAGAATATTTTTGATATTTTATATTGTAGGCTTATCTTCTAGCTAACTTATGGCACTACCGGCTAAGCTTATTTGACTTTGTGTCAATGGGATCAACTGGATTGGCTAAGCTTGATTGTCGGTATAGTTTGGTTGTTCATCCAACCTGATTAATTGTCTTCAATACCTAGTGAAGAAGTCTTTAGAGTTTCAACGGGATGGTCGGGATACTTTGTGGAATTAGATATTTCTTTGGGTCTACTCTACTAAGGAATGAGTTATCACATTAGGCTAACTTTTCTGTAATGTCTGGCTCAGACTCTCTTTTGACTCTTTTTCGACCGAATGGCTCTTGGTTGGACATTTGGTCATCTTCTAGTCCATCTCGGAGCTCAGTTGGTTTTGACATAGTTGGGTTGACTCTGTACGACTTTGATTTTTTGGTCAGGTGGGCCTCATAATATCCTAATAGTAGACCAGCCTTCTTCGTATTCCTCTCTTATAGATCTTTTGATCTCTTTAAGATCAGTGCACCTTTTTTAGGTACAATAACATAAAATTTATATATGTCATGGGGATACGTGGTTACTCATATTTGGAGTATAAAGTGAAAGAATCTCATCAATATTATGAATACTTTTTGTTTGAATTTAAATAAAGCAAATATAAAATTATTTTGTTGGAAATCTGCAAAAAAAATGCATTCCATTCAATTCTTAATTATTTACATATCTAGCACCTAAAATTTAGTATTTGCATAAATGCCAACTTATATAAGCATGCAAAATGTATTTCACTTATTAAAAGTTAGAATAATATTATTTTTATGTGATATGAACATATTTCGGAGGTAAAAATGTAAGAAAAAATAAAGTATAGTTTTTAGATATGAAAATACATAAGAATTGGGTGGTATGTATGTAAATGCCCCTTATTATTTATAAATATGCATTTGTTATCTGCCCATGGCCAACCGCCACACAATCATCCAATCATGCCTTAAATGATTTGAAGCATTCGAAATGAAGTTTGATTTGGGCAATTAAAGCCAATCACAATGAATTAGTTCCATGGGGTCCAAATGATGTGTATGCTCGAGACAATAACAAATAAAAATTGTATGGTATTTTTGTAAATTTTCCTTGGAATTATCAATTCATTTAAAGTATGTCTTGACTATGGGAAAATGTTATGTCTAGACAACGATCGTGCGGATGTTGGCGTGAATCGCATCACGCTGTTAAAGGCATGATGTGGTGCGCTCCACATCATCAGTCGATTAGAACTATATTTTTTTACAAAATTAGCATACTCTTATAGCATAAAATTTCCCATATTTTGCATTTTTATCAAATTCCCCCTGATTTGATTGTGACACGTACAAATCAACCATTATAATAGTTCAAAAAATGGCTTGGATGTTAGAATTGTAAATAACAAAATTATGAGAGGTATGCATGTAATTATGCTAAAGTTCTAGCATTGTCTTTCTCTGAGATCTCAAGGATTCTTATAGGTTAAGTGGTGATTATCCTCCCATTAAACATACTGATCATATTCAACATATTATTACAGTAACAACAAGTCAAAAGAAGTCAAATAAATTTTTATTTATGATTGGAAAGGCACGTGAAAATTGCATTTTAATACATGACCAAAAAAAAATTAGAAAAAAAGGCCATCATGACACTTGGCTTTAATTATTGATTTGAAGAAAAAGATTAATTATTTTACGAGTAAACTGTTATTTTACGAGTAAACTGTCAAAACAGTCCCGAGTTATTTACATATGACGTTTTAATCCCAATATTTATAGAAGTAATTGATATGGCATCAATAAATTTATCATTTGACACGAATCCTGAGGTAGTTTTTTAGCAAGGAACGTCCAGAGTTGAACACGTAAGATGTCAGAAACTTAAAAAACTTTTGTAGAGCTTTATTCTATTTCAAATGATGTAGCATGCAAGTAAAATTATAAGTTTTGTTCATACTTAAATTGGATAAGAGGGCATTATTAAATTTAAAATATTGACTTTATTCACAATGTTTATATTATTGTTGAAGTTGAAATTGTCCGGGAGACACTCAAGTAATCGAGCGTCGCAAAGAAAAGAAAAGTAGGGAGAGCACAATAACGAACATAAAAATTGTGTAACATTTATTCACGAAATTAGCTCTCAATCTATAGATCAGGGGGCAGTGAAATTACATCTTTACCCCTAGTTAAATAGGGATTGTTGTATTTTTTATTTTATTTTAATTAGGAGTAATTTGGTCTTTTGACTTTATTTATTGGTATGTCTCAGTTGTATTCTATAAAATAAACTTAAGGCTTATGAGAGATATATGGTGAGAAGTGTAGAAGTTGTAACCCCTAGTCTTTTTCTTTCTCCCATCCGACACCAGTGAAATTTCCATCTCCATAGACGTAGGTGAATTAGTTTAACGCTAAACTACGTAGATCCTATATGCTTAATTGTCATTGTGTGAATTTCTTTGTTTATGCATTGCTTTTGCATAAAAGGGAGTTGTCGGTCGGATGTTCAGGCAACTGTCATTGTTTGTTCTGTTCGTGTGATGAATCTAGCTGAATCTGTCATGCGAGAATTTTATCGAGACACCCTTTGAACAGGTCGTTGGATATTGCCTAGTATGAGAATCAGTTGTCACCCAACTAGCACGAGTCGAGCAGCCAGAGGTGGAACATTAGGTTTTTCCTGGTTGGCCCTCACCCGCTACATCCTCTTCCTTGCGGTTGTTGGATTTTTTTGATACAATTATAAATTACAAGAATAGTAAAGAATGACAGTAGTATGCATGATAATGATGGTTGGACGAGAATAATTAGACATTATAAATCAAGCAACAACCATAAAACAAAAATATTAGGTTAGCGACAATTAGGTTCCAATTCAAGCAATTATAATCAGACGACAATAGTTTGTCAACAATAATTATTGAAAATGATCTTCTTCGATGATCGTCGACCAAAAACTAGAATTTTTGAATCTATAAGATCTCTTCAAATCCAACTCAAGGACTCCTTTCATAGAGAATGAAGTCTACTTAAAATATTTTAATATAATTATAATAATTTTAGTTAAAATTACCAAATTAATCAATTATAAAGCACATATTAATTATTTTACTCGCACATTATTCCTTTAGCATTTAAGTATGCTAAGGGCCCCATATTTGAGTGACATTTGGCTATTAATATATTTTCTCAATCAAAAGCAAAATTGGACCACAAAAACAATCATAAATAGACATTTACATGAATTTAAAATACACCTAATTTTTAAGTTTTGAAAAGTACAAATTTTAAGATCTTGAAATTTCGATAAATGTTATATTATTTATACAGTTAATATTTAATTACAATTATATCTTTTTTCTCATATATAAATATTAATCTTATATTCTTATACATACAAAAATCTGTATTTTAAGTTAAAAAAATTAACAGAGCGATATCTTTTTTTGTGATTTTGTTGATATAAATGGAAAGAATAATTTTTTTTTAATATAAACATATAAAAATTAAATGGCACACATGTAAATATTTTTTTAAGAATATTATGTCGGCACGTGAAATAAGAATTAAAAAAAAAAAAAAATAGTCGTGGTCTTCTTTCACTGACCGTTACCGAAGGTTTCGCCCTTTTTTTACCCCCACGACTTGCGTCCAAATACCCATCTTTCTTCCTTTCTTTTATCTAATCTAGTCCTCAAATTGCGTCATCCTCGTCGTTAAGCATCTGCCCCTTTTCCTTGTGTTCTTTTCCTCCTCTCCCTTGAATTTGATCCCTTTTTCAGAAGCAATGAGGCTCTGCGGATTGTTCTCAGGGGTTTTATTGATCTGGCTGTATTTTCCGATTGGGGAAGGAGCTATTGGGGTTAATTGGGGGACCATGGCGATTCGTCCATTGCCGCCGAAGATTGTTGCTCAGATGTTGCAGGACAACGGGATTGGAAAAGTTAAACTTTTTGATGCGGATGAGAACACCCTGAAAGCGCTTGTCGGAAGTGATATTGACGTAATGGTGGCGATACCAAACAATATGCTTGCAATCATGAACGACTACGATGCTGCTCAGCACTGGGTAGAGAAGAATGTTTCTCGCTATATGTTTGATGGAGGAGTCAATATCAAGTGAGTCTTTTTGTTTCCTGTCCTGTTTTTCTTTGTTACGATTCCTCGTCTGCTGGAGTAAAAAGTTGGGTCCTTTTTGTATGTTTGCTTTTTGTGATTTTGCCTTTTTGCCCAGTTTTTGTCATATTCCTTTGTTGAATCTTCTTATTAAAACATGTTTTTTCCTTTCCCCCCCCCCATCAAATTTGTGTCTTTGAATCTGTTTAATCAGCAAAATTCAGAGTTTTTATTGAATGTTTACGCAGTCTGATATCCCTGATATTTAAAATAAGCATTTTTCTTCTTTGTAGCTACTCGCCATAACAGCATATTTATGTCTTCGTCCTTACAGATATGTTGCCGTCGGCAACGAGCCTTTCCTCGCCGCCTATAATGGTTCATTCATCAACACCACTTTCCCCGCACTACAAAATATTCAGAATGCCCTTAATGAAGCTGGCTATGGAGACAAAATCAAGGCCACCGTCCCCCTCAACGCCGACGTCTACAACTCCCCATCATCCAACCCGGTCCCCTCCACCGGCCGGTTCCGCTCCGATATCAGTGATATCATGACCCAAATCGTCCATTTCTTCAAGCAGAACAACGCATCGTTCACCGTAAATATCTATCCTTTCCTGAGCTTATATGCCAATAAAGACTTCCCCTTTGATTACGCCTTCTTCGAAGGCACGGGCAAGCCCATCGTCGACAATGGCATACAATACACCAATGTCTTCGATGCCAACTTCGACACCCTTGTCTCAGCCTTGAAGGCCGCTGGAGTTCCCGACCTACCCATCATAGTGGGAGAGGTGGGATGGCCTACTGATGGAGACATAAACGCCAATAATAACTATGCCCAGAGGTTCTATAACGGGCTTCTTCCCCGTTTAGCTCGCAAGCAAGGGACGCCGCTGCGACCAAATGTGGACATAGATGTTTATCTCTTCGGCCTCATTGATGAAGATGCAAAGAGCATAGATCCAGGGAACTTTGAGAGGCACTGGGGGATCTTCCACTACGATGGGCAGCCAAAGTTTGCCATGGATCTCTCCGGTCAGCAGCCGCCGACCAAGTTGCTTATCGCCGCCAAGAATGTGAAGTACTTGCCGCAGAAGTGGTGTGTATTGAATCCTGAAGTGAGTAACTTGGACAAGCTTGCATACTGATAAGTGCAATTTCATCATTCAGATTGATTCGCCTGCGAGTTGTAGAGCTTTTAGTTTGCCATTGTTGTTAATGTTTATGTTGATTTCACTTTATGTGCTCATGTTTTAGGAGTTGGAAGATGATTTGTTTGATTTTTTTTATAGATATGTTGTTATGTCATATAGAGTTTAGATTAGTTTGTTGTTGTGGTTTAATGATATTCTTCATTTAGTTTCAGCTTTGAGATGTTGAATTTTTTATCATTCTTTTATGAGAAGTGGTTGTTGAACTCTCAAGGGGCTGCTTTGCAGTAGGTATAATTGTTTGTAAATGTAGTTAAAGAATTATTGTGAGCAAAATGTTTTTTTTTTTGTGAGTATCTTGTATATATATAAGTTAAGTGATGATTTTTTAACGGCTACCATAATTTAGAGATTTGACTGTAAATATTACTTCCCATCCATGTAAAAAATATATATATGATAAATTCATATAGAAGAACCTGTGATCCATAATTTCTATTTTTATTTTTGTTTTGTAAGTATTGTATCCATAATTTCTATTCTTATTTAAAGAAGGTTGGAATAATTTTGATTCTGTGATAAATTCATATAGAAGAACCTGTGATCATATCAGCTCCAGAGTTCATTCTGAATTATATATGGATGGATCTCATTGAAGCTTTTGAAGGTAATATACTGTGTTATGAACTTCTTAATGACTACGGAATGGAAGGTCTTTATGCTTCCATGGAGCCTGTTATGGGATCTTGAATTTAGCTCAAGTAGATACCCAGATATTTTAAGGGAAGTTTGCCAATTTTAAAACTAGTCAATTGGGTAATCTTCTGTTTCCTGTTTGCATGAATCCTTTTACTCAGGTAAAACTCACATTTAGTTTATTAAATTGCATACCTGGTACCTTGTCAATGGAAGCTTGAAAACATATAATGAAAATGATTGAATTATTTTGGTTCGGTCATTTGGTATAATATCTTTTATAAAATTGCTTCAGATGTTTCAGTGGTATGGGAAAAGTGCAGTTATCTGAGTAGCTTTTTTGAGCTCTTTTTTATTTGTGTGCTGAAACTCCATACTTAGTGGTGTTGGGGATTTTACAAATCAAGCATGGAGGCTTCTTTTGTATCCCTTGAGTCATTTTTGCATGCTTCAGTCATTTTCTCCTCTAATAATGGAGGTGATGTATCAAGGATTGATCGGAGCTCCTCTAGCAACCTGCTAAGCATTTTGTTATTTTTGAAGCTTTATGTTAGGGATCGATCAGAAAGCTCCTTCTTTTTGGTTATGTGGTGAATTTCAACGGTCATTTTTCAATCTTGTCCTTTTTGTTATGTGCTAGATATGTGGATACATAAGAATTAAGTTTTATGTATGTAAATCTTCTTAAAATTTAACGATCTCCTAAGTGGAGGTCATGATTATTTAGTTCAAAGAATTTTAGAAGGCAACAAGAGATATACAGGCTTTGTGCTTTGAGGCTAAGATGTGTCCCTCTCTTATTTCATTTCAGGATGGAGAGAATCTATTATTGCATTGCATTTTTAGTCCCACACACATAACAACCAATTCTACTCGTCGTAAGGTTGCCGCCCCACAAAAAAATTTTCTATGCGGACTCCTGACGTAGCTCTACGTGCGGATCAAGTTATTTCTAAGTTATTTTCATGTTATTTCTGAGTTATTTTTACTAATACCGAAATAACCCAGAAATACCCCAAGAATAAAAACCGCGAGTTATTTCTGGGTTATTTCGGTATTATTGAAAATAACCCAGAAATAACCTGAAAATAACTTAAGAATAACCTACGTCGCACGTAGAACTACGTCAGGAGTCCGGACAGAAAAAGCGTTTCTTCCCCACAGACAACTTCACCTCGGAGGGCATTAGATAATTTAACTACATTTAAAAACATATTATAAGTATATTAAATAATAGAGTAATATAAATTCATTTTACTTTGGTTGCCTAGTAGAATATTCACACTATTAAAAATAATGAGATTTTACATCTTAATGGATACTAAAAAATTAGCACAAGATTATATAAGAGGCCTCAAAATTGTCACATAAAATGTTAGAGACTGAAAACTAACATCTATAGAGCTTTATTCTATTTCAAATGATATAGCATGCAAGTAAAATTAAAGGTTTTATTCACACTTAAGTTGGATAAGAGGGCATTATAATATTTAAGAGAATGTTTATATTATTGCTGAATTTGAAGTTGTCCGGACGCACATCTAACTAATTGAGCGTCGTAAGGAAAAGAAAAGTAGAGAGTGCACGGTAATGAACAGTAAAATTGTGTAACATTTATTCACGAAATGATCCCTTTATTTATAGATCAGGGAACATGAAATAACATCTTTGCCCTTTGTTAAATAAGGATTGTTGTATTTTTTGTTTTGTTTTAATTAGGGGTAATTTGGACTTTTTATTTTATTTACTTGTATGCCATAGTCATCCCCTATAAATGAAACTTAGGACCTATCAGAGATGTATGGTGAGAAGTGTAGAAGTTGTAACCACCGCATTTTTTTTTTCCATCTGACACTAGTGAAGTCTCCTTCCCATGGACGTAGGTGAACTAATTTAACACTGAACCTCGTAGATCTTTTATGTTAGATTGTTGTTGTGTGAATTTTTTCGTGTATTTATTGTTTTCGCATAACAGGGACAGTAGAGGGTATTTTAAGTAAGAAACATTAACAAGATTGAGAAACTGAAAAGAAGTCCACCCGAGTGTACAATTCAGACAATCTTGGCTTGTAGGGCAGTGGAGTAGTGCGAGTCTCCGGTCAGATGTCTGGGCGGCTGTCATTGTTCGTTCAATCTTTGTGATCTACCTGAATGAATCATGCGAAAATTTTGTCGAGATACCCTTTGAATAAGTCGTTGCTTATCGTCTGATACGAATTGTCACCCAACTAGCACGACTCGGGCAATCAGAGGTGGACCATTTGGTTTTCTCCTGGTGGGCCCTCACCTGCTACGTCCTCTTCCTTGCTGTTGTTGGATTTTTTTTTTCTTAAATTCATGTTTCGCACATTTTCATATACAATTATAAATTATAAGAATAGTAAAAAAATGATGACAATATGATAATGATGATTGGACGAGGGTAATTAGAAGATATCAGTCGACCAGCAACGATAAGACTAAAGTAGTTGGTTATCGACAATTCGACTCCAACATTCAAGTGACAAAGATTGAGTTCAGGCAATGATAATCAAACGACAATAATTTGATTCAATGAATGTTAAACAAAAACTAAAATTTCTGAATCTCTAAGATCTCTTCAAATTTAACTCAAGAACACCTTTCATAGAGAATGAAGTCTACTTATAAATTTTTAATATAATTATAATAATTTTGGTTAAAATAATCAAATTAATCATTTATAAAGCATATATTAATTATTTTAATCGCACATTATTCATTTAGCATTTAAGCATACTAACGAACCCATAATTGAATGACATTGGGCTAGTAATAAATTATATTTTCTCAATCAAAAGCAAAATTAGACCTCAAAAAACAATCATAAATAGACATTTACATGAATTTAAAATATGTAAAATCTTATATTCTTATTAATACAAAAAATCTGTATTTAAATTTAAGAAATTTTAAATAATATAAATGAAAACAATAAAATTTTTTTGTAAATATATAAAATTAAATGACATGCATATAAATATTTGTTTTTAGAATTTTATGTCACATCAATTTTTAACACAGTGAACTAATAATAAAATAAAAATATTTAACATAAGTGGTTCCTTAAGCCGTGCCATTACCCCGAAGATTTCGCCCTCGTTTCCTTCCCACGACTACGACTTGCGTCAAAATGCTCGTCTTTCCTTTCTCTGCTCATAGCGTCATCCTCGTAGCATCTTCCGCTTTTATTCTCCTCCCCTCCTTTTTCCGAAGCCATGAGGCTCTGCGGTTCAGAAGCCATGAGGCTCTGCGGATGGATTTTACTGACGTGGTTGTATTTTCCGATTGGGGAAGGAGCTGTCGGGGTTAATTGGGGGACCATGGCGATTCGTCCATTGCCGCCGAAGATTGTCGCTCAGATGTTGCAGGACAACGGGATTGGAAAAGTTAAACTTTTTGATGCGGATGAGAACACCCTGAAAGCGCTTGTCGGAAGTGATATTGAGGTAATGGTGGCGATTCCAAACAATATGCTTGCAATCATGAACGACTACGATGCTGCTCAGCGCTGGGTGGATAAGAATGTTTCTCGCTATATGTTTGATGGAGGAGTCAATATCAAGTGAGTCCCATCGTTTCCTGTTTTTTTTTTTTTTTAATTACGATTCCTCTTCTGCTGGAATTAAAAGTTGGAGCCTTTTTGTATGTTTGCTTTTTGCGATTTTGCCTTTTTGCCGAGTTTTTATAATATTCCTTTGTTGAATCTTCTTATTAAAACTTGTTTTTTTCCTTCCCCCATCAAATTTGTGTATTTGAATCTGTTTTATCAGCAAAAAATTAGAGTTTTTATTGAATTTTTACGCAGCCTGATATCCCTGATATCTAAAACAAGCATTTTTCTTCTTTGTAGCTACTCGCTATTACACCATGTTTCTCTCTTCCTCTTTGCAGATATGTTGCGGTCGGCAACGAGCCTTTCCTCGCCGCTTATAACGGTTCGTTCATCAACACCACTTTCCCAGCACTACAAAATATTCAGAATGCTCTTAATGAAGCTGGCTATGGAGACAAAATCAAGGCCACGGTCCCCCTCAACGCCGACGTCTACAACTCCCCATCATCCAACCCGGTCCCCTCCACCGGCCGGTTCCGCTCCGATATCAGTGATATCATGACCCAAATCGTCCATTTCTTCAAGCAGAACAACGCATCGTTCACCGTAAATATCTATCCTTTCCTGAGCTTATATGCCAATAAAGACTTCCCCTTTGATTACGCCTTCTTCGAAGGCACGGGCAAGCCCATCGTCGACAATGGCATACAATACACCAATGTCTTCGATGCCAACTTCGACACCCTTGTCTCAGCCTTGAAGGCCGCCGGAGTTCCTGACCTGCCCATCATAGTGGGAGAGGTGGGATGGCCTACTGATGGAGACATAAACGCCAATAATAACTATGCCCAGAGGTTCTATAACGGGCTTCTTCCCCGTTTAGCTCACAAGCAAGGGTCGCCGCTGCGACCAAATGTGGACATAGATGTTTATCTCTTCGGCCTCATTGATGAAGATGCAAAGAGTATAGATCCAGGGAACTTTGAGAGGCACTGGGGGATCTTCCACTACGATGGGCAGCCAAAGTTTGCCATGGATCTCTCCGGCCAGCAGCCGCCGACCAAGTTGCTCGTCGCCGCCAAGAATGTGAAGTACTTGCAGCAGAAGTGGTGTGTATTGAATCCTGAAGTGAGTGACTTGGACAAGCTTGCGGGTAACATAAACTTTGCCTGCACCTTCTCGGACTGCACTGCGCTCGGATATGGCTCCTCCTGCAATGGATTGGATACCAATGGGAATGCTTCTTATGCGTTCAATATGTATTTTCAGGCGCAGGGGCAGAATGAACTGGGCTGTGGTTTTCAGGGGCTTGGCATGGTGACAACTCAGAATCAGAGTACTGATAAGTGCAATTTCATCATTCAGATTGATTCGCCCGCTAGTTGTAGAGCTTTTAGTTTGCCATTGTTGTTAATTTTTATGTTGATTTCACTTTATGTGCTCATGTTTTAGGAGTTGGAAGATGATTTGTTTGATTTTTTTTATAGATATGTTGTTATGTTATATAGAGTTTAGATTAGTTTGTTGTTGTAGTTTAATGATATTCTTCATTCAGTTTCAGCTTTGAGAAGTTGAATTTTTTATAATTCTTTTATGAGAAGTGGTTGTTGAACTTTCAAGAGGCTGCTTTCGAGTAGGTATAATTGTTTGTAAATGTAGTTAAAGAATTATTGTGAGCAAAATGTTTTTTTTTTTTTGTGAGTATCATGTATATATATAAGTTAAATGATGATTTTTTAACGGCTACCATAATTTAGAGATTTGACCGTAAATATTACTTCCCATCCATGTAAAAAAATTTTTATGATAAATTCATATAGAAAAATCTGTGATCCATAATTTCTATTTTTTTTTTTTTGTAAGTAATGTATCCATAATTTCTATTTTTATTTAAAGAAGGTTGGAATAATTTTGATTCTCTGATATATTCATATAGAAAAACCTGTGATCTTATCAGCTCCAGAGTTCATTCTGAATTAATATGGATGGATCTCATTGATGCTTTTGAAGGTAATATACTGTGCTATGCACTTCTTAATGACTACGGAATGGAAGGTCTTTATGCTTCCATGGCGCCTATTATGGGATCTTGAATTTAGCTTAATTAAATACCCAGATATTTGAAGGGAAGTTTGCCAATTTTAAAACTAGTTAATTGGGTAATCTACTGTTCCCTGTTTGCATGAATCCTTTTACTCAAGTAAAACTCACATTTAGTTTATTATGAAAAATTTTAAAATTGCATACTTGAAACCTTGTCGAAGGAAGCTTGAAAACATATAATGAAAATGATTGAATTATTTGGTTCGGTCATTTGGTATAATATTTTTTATAAAATTGCTTCAGATGTTTCAGTGGTATGGGAAAAGTGCAGTTGTCTGAGTAGCTTTTTTGAGCTCTTTTTTATTTGTGTGCTGAAACTCCATACTTAGTGGTGTTGGGGATTTTACAAATCAAGCATGGAGGCTTCTTTTGTATCCCTTGAGTCATTTTTGCATGCTTCAGTCATTTTCTCCTCTAATAATGGCGGTGATGTATCAAGGATTGATTGGTGCTCCTCTAGCAACCTGCTTAGCATTTTGTTATTTTTGAAGCTTTATGTTAGGGATAAATCAGAAAGCTACTACTTTTTGTTATGTGGTGGATTACAACAGTCATTTTTCAATCCTGTCCTTTTTGTTGTGTTAGATATGTGGATACATAAGAATTAAGTGGTATGTATGTAGATCTTCCTATAATTTAACGTTCTCCTAAGTGGAGGTCATGATTGTCTAGTTCAAAGAATTTAAGAAGGCAACAAGTGTTGTACAGGCTTTGTGCTCTGAGGCTAAGGTGTGTCTCTCTCTTATTTCATTTTAGGATGTAGAGAATTTATTATTGCATTGCATTTTTTCGTTATATTTTTCTTAGTTAGCAGCACATGCATTTGTTCCACACCGGACTGATTGAGACATCACAACTATAGCCAAATTTATAAATGGTTTTTAACTCTATAGAATTCAGTGACATGTTTTCATATCTTCCTTTATTTTATTTTTAGATTCCTGCTCTTGTGCTTCATTGAAGGAAGTAATGTGGAGTAATCTTTTTACCTTGAGCTTAACAAAGTATAACATCTGAATGCTTGTGCTTCATATTTTTAGATTCCTGCTCTTGTGCTTCATCAGAATGCTCGGTCATAAGGCATGTTTTGGTTGCAAGTTTTTGAGGTGTTCTTTCATATAAACTCATGCGATTCATCCTCATTTTGTGTTATCATTTCAGCATTTGGGCAAATTGGATGCGCGAAAAGGAAGTATAACTTTTCGTAGAAAAAATGGGATGGTACAACAGCAACAAAGCCTTAATCCCACTACGTGGGGTCGGCTAAATGAATCCTTTTTGTCCATTGTGCCCTATTTAGTGTCATATTTTCATTTAGTTCTAGTAAATTAAAATCATTTTTTATACAATAAGCCCAAGTCTTCCTAGGTCTACATCTGCCTAGGAAATGTGAAAATTGAAAGTTTAGGGGTTATGTATGTAAATGCAGGGAATTGCTTATTCTTGTAAGTTTCCACACTATTTTATGTCCTATGAAAGATTTGGGCTTGAAATTCAGGTATTAGTTGGGTAAATATGTGCAGGATCAGATGTTATGAATATAAGGATGTCACTCCTCTCCTTCTTACTACTCCTGCTTTCTAATTAGTAAAATTCTTTAACTTGTGAAGAGATTCTTACCTAGTTAATTTTCTCCTCGATTAAGCTCTTTGATAAGCATGAATCTTTGCTGTTTTAATTGTAAGTTATGAAAAAATAGCTACCTTGTCTATATATGAGTAATTAGGATGTCACTCCTCTTCTTCATCACACTTTTATCATCAATCTAGAGCAAGTTTTGGTCTAGTGTAGATCAATTTGCTGGACAGTTTGATACAAATTCAGCATTAAACTTGATGTAATTCATCTTCTTGCAGGTTCTTAAGTCCTGCAGATTCTTAAATACCATTTGCCATCTGTTTTGCTTTAAGTGGAGTGGGAAGATGGGATTTTTAAAGGTCTTCGTACTCTGCGATATCTGATTTGCTTTCCTAGCTATCTCTAATCGTTGTTGCACTTCTTCATGTCTTTTTGTCTCCAACAGAGGCCTTGGGAGCTTTGTGGTAACAGGATTTGATCTGCATCATGCCAAACAGCCAAAATGACAACTTTGAATCCCATAGAATCTTAAATCTAACTCAGAGAGCCAAATTTCAGGCTCTACAGAACATACTAGTATTTACGAACAATCATGAAGATTAGTGATATGTGAAGATTTCCCTTTAAAAGTTGGCCAAAAAAATTAGGAGTTTTCTCTGCTGAAGCTGTAGTCCCCTCCGCCGGCTCCGATATCAGCGATATCATGACCCAAATCCTCCATTTCTTCAAGCCATTTCTTCAAGCGGAACAACGCATCGTTCACCGTAAATATCTATCCTTTCCTGAGCTTATATGCCAATAAAGACTTCCCCTTTGATTACGCCTTCTTCGAAGGCACGGGCAAGCCCGTTAGACAATGGCATACAATACACCAATGTCTTCGATGCCAACTTCGACACCCTTGTCTCAGCCTTGAAGGCCGCTGGAGTTGCCAGAGTTCCCGACCTGCCCATCATAGTGGAAGAGGTGGGATGGCCTACTGATGGAAACATAAACGCCAATATTAACTATGCCCAGAGGTTCTATAACGGGCTTCTTCCCCGTTTAGCTCACAAGCAAGGGTCGCCGCTGCGACCAAATGTGGACATAGATGTTTATCTCTTCGGCCTCATTGATGAAGATGCAAAGAGTATAGATCCAGGGAACTTTGAGAGGCACTGGGGGATCTTCCACTACGATGGGCAGCCAAAGTTTGCCATGGATCTCTCCGGCCAGCAGCCGCCGAACAAGTTGCTCGTCGCCGCTAAGAATGTAAAGTACTTGCTGCAGAAGTCGTGTGTATTGAATCCTGAAGTATGTGACTTGGACAAGCTTGCGGGTAACAGAAACTTTGCCTGCACCTTCTCGGACTGCACTGCGCTCGGCTATGGCTCCTCCTGCAATAGATTGGTTACCAATGGGAATGCTTTTTATGCGTTCAATATGTATTTTCAGGCGCAAGGCCAGAATGAACTGGGCGCTATGGTTTTCAGGGACTTGGTATGGTGGCAACTCAGCATCGGAGTACTGACAAGTGCAATTTCATCATTCAGATCGTTTCGCCCGCAAGTTGTAGAGCTTTTAGTTTTCCATTGTTACTAATGTTTATGTTGATTTCACTTGATGTGCTCATGTTTTAGGAGTTTGAAGATGATTTGTTTGATTTTTTTTATAGATATGTTGTTATGTTATATAGAGTTTAGATTAGTTTGTTGTTGTAGTTTAATGATATTCTTCATTTAGTTTCAGCTTTGAGAAGTTGAATTTTTTATAATTCTTTTATGAGAAGTGGTTGTTGAACTTTCAAGAGGCTGCTTTCGAGTAGGTATAATTGTTTGTGAATGTAGTTAAAGAATTATTGTGAGCAAAATGTATTTTTCTAAAATTTTATTTTTGTGAGTGTAATGTATATATTTAAATTAAATTATGATTTTTTAACGGCTACCATAAATTAGAGATTTGACTGTAAATATTACTTCCCATCCATGTAAAAAAATTTTGTATTTGTAAATGCATATGCAAAAAAATTATAGTCAAATTTAACTATATTAGCAATCTAGAAAACAAAGCTGTGGACAAATTGCCTCAAATAGTTCTGAAAATCTTAATTAGTTTTATTGTTTTTCATATTTTTATTTCAAAATAAGGAATGTGTGTAAATTCAAACGAGTTGTATGTAAATAAGGTATAAGAAGAGTTAATTATGTTTATATACTATTAGTAAATCCTAAACTGATCTCCAATAGTATATTTCATGTTCAGAAGAATGCATTTGTTGTTTTCAAATATAGTGGTACTGTTATTGTTGGTGTTGTTCCTGTCAGGAGCATCTTCATTTCATCTTTGGAGATCACACAGGTGGGTTGCTATAAAAATGTTGGAGCCATTTAAGATTTCTGAACCATTGCAGGCTCAAATGGCCTTGGTGGAATGGCAGCATCTGTTGCAGCTGAAGCTGTATTTCTTTGCATTGATGTGGTGTGACATAAAATCCAAGTATGATCTCTTCATTGGGTTTTTATGATGTTCTCTCTTTGCCTTTTAATTGTTATGTTGCATTAATAAGAAAAATGGTTCTGTTATAGTATCGGACAGATAAATTGTTCATCATGTTGGAATGAATTTGTGATGGCAACATTGAGTTGGAGAACTTTGTCTATTTGGTGAGAATCACGCATTAAGTTTTTGTAAGAAATAAAATTATAGTTTGATGTGTTTTCTCTTATCACTTACCCTTTAAGGCTTTGGCAGTATTTCTGACAAACATGGATGATCCACATTTGAGGAGGAAATTGTAAATTCTACTTTAAGGTCGTGTTAGATGATTTAAATTCTTCTAGTGAAACAATTTAGCCTTTTGCCCTTCAAATTCAGTAATATAATTTGACCTTTTGCCCCTTCTAAAATATCATTTTGCCCTTTGTGATCATAACCCGTCCCACGTTGGGTCTCAAAAGACAGTTTGCCCCCTCTGAAAAAAGAGTCTGGTTTCACTCCTGCGAGTGCCAAGTGAAAACAAATTCAATAGAAAAAATATTTGTTGATAAAATAAAATATGGTTAATTTCTAAATCTTTATCATTAGACACTAATGGGATATTTTGTTACCTAACATCATAATGCAAATTAGTCCTATTTTTGCGTGATGTCCCTCTGATGGCCTTCTTTAGAAGGATCACCTTGTACAAATCGTTAAGAGATTTGCTATTTAAAAATGCTCCTGTGTTTTCTAACCTACAAAGGTTCTGTAAAATGTTGATTGTCTTGTTTTCAATTCTAAATCTAAGTAACATGTTTGTGAAGAGATTCAGTGAAATGGCATAATAATTAACTGTGCAACACCAGCTGTATAAGTAAAATCATGTTGTATAATTTGTTTAAGATATTCTCCAGCTTATAACGAAGTTCTGCGCATGTCCTGAAGTTTTGCCTTATTGGTGTTGCTTCAGATCTTTCTACACGCGCAAGCATTGGATTATATTATACAATCTTATTTCATTACAATTAGCCTCTTTTTATTTTTGAATGATGCAGGTTCTTTTAACCATTGTTGTTGGATTGTAGGAGTTATATCTTTTTGTAAAGCACAAACAAAAAAAATGAAGTTAAATTTAACTATGATAGTAATCTTGATAAGAAAGCTGTGAAAAAATTGCCTCAACTAGATTATGAAAAATCTTCATGAGTTGTTTTGGTTAAGATTTAGATTTTTTTTGGAAGGTTTTTTACATACATAGCACGCGAAACAGAAATATTTACATATTCCACATTCGAAACACCTTATTTGCGTATTCCTTCATTCTACTTGTCCAAAGTATTTCAATTGGGCAATCAAATAGGAATCAAACAGGAAGTATCACAAGGTATATTTGCAAATTTCAGAGTACTAATAGGTTATGTATCTTTGTTTTTATTTCCATGATAGATAACATAAAATCAGAAGGAATGCTTTGATGCAAGAGAAGCAAAGAAATAAATGATAGCGGGGTTAATAGTCCCCTCATTTAGCTATGATATTATCCTGACAGAAATACCTTGGATATTCTGTGATTATTTATAACGTTTATGTTGTCAAAAATTGTTTTTCCAAATCTGAAAATATCATCGATTCAGACCCATTGGTTTTAATTCCTTTCTGGCATCTATTGATGTGATTCATCTTATGTCCTTAAAGGGATACAATCAATTTTCTTGCATTTTTCAAAGTCCTCTAAATTTTGCTCTAGAAATTTTGACTTAACATACAGTTTGGCTTAGCAATTTTGTTATATAATAAATTCAAAATTTTAATAGTTTTAAAAAGATTTTCATGATGACTTCAGGTGCTAATTCAAATGTCCCAGCAAAGGATGTTACGAATCTTAATAAGGTGGAAGCACAAGGTACTTGTCAAAAAATACTTCTATGAGTGTCATTCTCACTGATTGTTATGCTATTGTAATTTGTAATTTCAGCATCTATTTGATTCTATTGTGTCATGAAAATGAGAAAATTACCTCTTTTAAGTATTTCATTAAAGTTTTATTACTTCTGTATGTTTTATTTCAAACAACTATGGAAAGTAGCATGAGATTATTTTATGTCGGTGGTACCCATACCTTAGCTGAAATCTCTTATTTTATGGCGTTTTGTTTTTAGGACAATGCACATTGTGACTTTTTTTAGTAGTGCTGGTTTATGAAATTGAAAATGTTTTCTTATTGGCCTCAGGTGTCATTCAGAGTTTTGAATCAAGCTTTATAACCACTAACAAGCAGATTATTTTTGAAGAAAAAAGTGAAGGTTTTTTGTTTCCATTTTACTCGAATCTTACATTTACTCTAGCTTTATTGCAGATCTTTTATTTTATTAATCCTCAAAATATTTGCTTAATGCTTGGTGTTCTAAGGACTTCACTAGGGGATGAAGCCTATCCTGATTTGATGGTCATCAAAGAAAAACATGAAGTTTCTTAATTTTTAGTTGAATTCAAAACTGTCCTGTTTTTCTACGTATTCTAAATTGCAGCAGTATTTTTCATAATGTGTTAGATGCTGATCCAAGCTTTTCACCAATGGATGCCACTAATTACGACAAGATAATTGCCAGAGAATATTTGAAGGTTCTAATTTTTATTTGCTCCCAGTTCTTTTTAATGGCTTCTAGAGCTTTGGCTACTTCTTACTTAGGGTATGTTTGGGGGCGCGGCTGGACAGCTTCGCGGCACCCCGTCTCGCACTTCTGTTGTTTGGGAGCGCGGCAGAAGAACTTTGCGGCCACTGCAGGGGAGGTTTTCGCAGGGGAGGTTTTCGCATGTATTAAATTTTATTTTAATACATGACCAAAATAAAATTTAGAAAAAAGGCCATGATAACACTTGGCTTTAGTTATTGATTTGAAGAAAAAAGATAAATTATTTTACGAGCAAACTGTCAAAATAGTCCCGAGTTATTTACATATGACGTTTTAATTCCAATATTTATAGAAGTGATTGATATGTCATCAATAAATTTATCATTTGACACGAATCTTGAGGTAATTTTTTAGCAAGGAACGTCCAGAGTTGAGCACATGAAGCATTGGATCATATTATATATCAAATTTTATTTAAATTCCTTAGGTTTAATATTTTATTATTGTTTTAAAGATAATTAATCAAGATGGTTCAAATAATGAGCAAAGAGATAGAATATGTGCACTTTTAGATTCTATACATGATTTTGAATTTAATTTTACATTTTTTTTTTTTAAGCATGTGTAGCACTCAAATCCAACATCTTGAGATTATTCACTTCATTTCTAACAAATGCGCTACATATTCGAGCACACCTTCCATGTTATTTGATTATTTGATATGTCTATAGTTATATAGTGCGCCTAACATCGTTGGTTCGCACATGCATCGCATGGTTGCGGCTCGACCTTAATAAATCCCACACACACCACAATCAACTCCACTCGTCTTAACATTGCCGCCATTCCCTCGGGCAAAGTCAATCGCGCCAACATCATGAGGGCAATAGATAATTTAAGTACATTTAAAAGCATACTAGAAGTATATTAAATAATATAGTAATATAAGATAATTAAGTTCATTTTAATAAAAGACTGACTTTATCTACAATGTTCATATTATTGTTGAAGTTGAAATTGTCTGGGAGACACTCAAGTAATTGAGCGTCGCAAAGAAAAGAAAAGCAGGGAGAGCACCATAACAAACGGAAAAATTGCGTTACATTTATTCACGAATATAGCTCTTAATTTATAGGTCAGGGGACGGTGAAATTACATCTTTACCCCTAGTTAAATAGGGATTGTTGTATTTTTTGTTTTCATTTTAATTATGGGTGATTTGGTCTTTTGACTTTATTTACTAGTATGTCTCAGTTGTGTTCTATAAAAGAAACTTAAGGCTTATGAGAGATATGTAGTGAGAAGTGTAGAAGTTGCAACCCCTAGTCTTTTTTCTTTCTCCCATCCGACACCAGTGAAATTTCCATCTCCATAGACGTAGGTGAATTAGTTTAACGCTAAACTACGTAGATCCTATATGCTTAATTGTCATTGTGTGAATTTCTTTGTTTATGCATTGCTTTTGCATAAAAGGGAGTGGACAGCATGGGAGTTTTTTACGTAATGAACAATAATAAAACCGAGAGAGTGAAACGACGTCCGGTCGAGTGTACAATCCAGACAACCTTCACATGTAGGGTGGTTGAGTAGTGTGGGTCGTCGGTCGGATGTTCAGGCGACTGTCATTATTTGTTATGTTCGTGTGATGAATCGAGCTGAATCTGTCATGCGAGAATTTTGTTGAGATACCCTTTGAACAGGTCGTTGGTTATCGCCTAGTATGAGGATCAGCTGTCACCCAACTAGCACGAGTCGAGAAGCCAGAGCTGGAACATTGGGCTTTTCGATAAATGTTATCGCCTAATATGAGGATCAACTGTCATGCGAGAATTTTGTTGAGGATTTTAAATATGTAAAATTCATCTCCATCGCTGTCACTAAATTCACTGTATTTTACCCATAAAACCAAAAAGACAATGATGTGTTTTTCATATCCAATCATAAAACAGCCAGTTCTGACAAATACAAATTTTAAGATCTTGAAATTTAGATAAATGTTATATTATTTATACAGTTAATATTTAATTACAATTATATCTTTTTAATCATATCTAAATATTAATCTTATATTCTTATACATGCAAAAATCTGTATTTTAAGTTAAAAAAATTAACATAGCGATATCTTTTTTGTGATTTTGTTGATATAAATGGAAACAATTAATTTTTTTAATAAAAACTTATAAAAATTAAATGGCAAACATGTAAATATTTTTATTAAGAATATTATGTCGGCACGTGAACTAAGAAAAAAAAAATAAATAGTCGTGGTCTTGCTCCACTGACCGTTACCGAAGGTTTCGCCCTTTTTTTCCACTCCCACGACTTCATCTAAATACCCATCTTTCTTCCTTTGTTTTATCTAATCTAGCCCTCAAATCGCGTCATCCTCGTCGTTAAGCATCTGCCCCCTTTTCTTTGCGTTCTTCTCCTCCTCTCCCTTGAATTTGATCCTTTTTTTCAGAAGCAATGAGGTTCTGCGGATTGTTCTCAGGGGTTTTATTGATCTGGCTGTATTTTCCGATTGGGGAAGGAGCTATTGGGGTTAATTGGGGGACCATGGCGATTCGTCCATTGCCGCCGAAGATTGTTGCTCAGATGTTGCAGGACAACGGGATTGGAAAAGTTAAACTTTTTGATGCGGATGAGAACACCCTGAAAGCGCTTGTCGGAAGTGATATTGACGTAATGGTGGCGATACCAAACAATATGCTTGCAATCATGAACGACTACGATGCTGCTCAGCGCTGGGTGGATAAGAATGTTTCTCGCTATATGTTTGATGGAGGAGTCAATATCAAGTGAGTCTTTTTGTTTCCTGTCCTGTTTTTCTTTATTACGATTCCTCTTCTGCTGGAGTAAAAAGTTGGAGCCTTTTTGTATGTTTGCTTTTTGTGATTTTGCCTTTTTGCCAAGTTTTTGTCATATTTTTTTGTTGAATCTTCTTATTAAAACATGCTTTTTCCTTTTCCCCCATCAAATTTGTGTATTGAATCTGTTTTATCAGTAAAATTCAGAGTTTTTATTGAATGTTTACGCAGTTTGATATCCCTTATATTTAAAATAAGCATTTTTCTTCTTTGTAGCTACTCTCCATAACACCATATTTATGTCTTCCTCCTAACAGATATGTTGCCGTCGGCAACGAGCCTTTCCTCGCCGCCTATAATGGTTCATTCATCAACACCACTTTCCCCGCACTACAAAATATTCAGAATGCCCTTAATGAAGCTGGCTATGGAGACAAAATCAAGGCCACCGTCCCCCTCAACGCCGACGTCTACAACTGCCCATCATCCAACCCAGTCCCCTCCGCCGGCCGGTTCCGCTCTGATATCAGCGATATCATGACCCAAATTGTCCATTTCTTCAAGCAGAATAACGCCTCATTCATCGTAAATATCTATCCTTTCCTCAGCTTATATGCCAATAAAGACTTCCCCTTCGATTACGCCTTCTTCGAAGGCACGGGCAAGCCCGTCGTAGACAATGGCATACAATACACCAATGTCTTCGATGCCAACTTCGACACCCTTGTCTCAGCCTCGAAGGCCGCCGGAGTTCCCGACCTGCCCATCAAAGTGGGAGAGGTGGGATGGCCTACTGATGGAGACATAAATGCCAATATTAACTATGCCCAGAGGTTCTATAACGGGCTTCTTGCCCGTTTGGCTCACAACCAAGGGACGCCGCTGCGACCAAATGTGGACATAGATGTTTATCTCTTTGGCCTCATTGATGAAGATGCGAAGAGCATAGATCCAGGGAACTTTGAGAGACACTGGGGGATCTTCAACTACGACGGGCAGCCAAAGTTTGCAATGGATCTCTCCGGCCAGCAGCCGCCGACCTAGTTGGTCGCCGCCAAGAATGTGAAGTACTTGCCGCAGAAGTGGTGTGTATTGAATCCTGAAGTGAGTGACTTGGACAAGCTTGCGGGTAACATAAACTTTGCCTGCACCTTCTCGGACTGCACTGCGCTCGGCTATGGCTCCTCCTGCAATGGATTGGATACCAATGGGAATGCTTCTTATGCGTTCAATATGTATTTTCAGGCGCAGGGGCAGAATGAACTGGGCTGTGGTTTTCAGGGGCTTGGCATGGTGACAACTCAGAATCAGAGTACTGATAAGTGCAATTTCATCATTCAGATTGATTCGCCTGCGAGTTGTAGAGCTTTTAGTTTGCCATTGTTGTTAATGTTTATGTTGATTTCACTTTATGTGCTCATGTTTTAGGAGTTGGAAGATGATTTGTTTGATTTTTTTTATAGATATGTTGTTATGTCATATAGAGTTTAGATTAGTTTGTTGTTGTGGTTTAATGATATTCTTCATTTAGTTTCAGCTTTGAGATGTTGAATTTTTTATCATTCTTTTATGAGAAGTGGTTGTTGAACTCTCAAGGGGCTGCTTTGCAGTAGGTATAATTGTTTGTAAATGTAGTTAAAGAATTATTGTGAGCAAAATGTTTTTTTTTTTGTGAGTATCTTGTATATATATAAGTTAAGTGATGATTTTTTAACGGCTACCATAATTTAGAGATTTGACTGTAAATATTACTTCCCATCCATGTAAAAAATATATATATGATAAATTCATATAGAAGAACCTGTGATCCATAATTTCTATTTTTATTTTTGTTTTGTAAGTATTGTATCCATAATTTCTATTCTTATTTAAAGAAGGTTGGAATAATTTTGATTCTGTGATAAATTCATATAGAAGAACCTGTGATCATATCAGCTCCAGAGTTCATTCTGAATTATATATGGATGGATCTCATTGAAGCTTTTGAAGGTATGCTTTTGAAGGTAATATACTGTGCTATGCACTTCTTAATGACTACGGAATGGAAGGTCTTTATGCTTCCATTGAGCCTGTTATGGGATCTTGAATTTAGCTTAATTAAATACCCAGATATTTGAAGGGAAGTTTGCCAATTTTAAAACTAGTTAATTGGGTAATCTACTGTTTCCTGTTTGCATGAATCCTTTTACTCAAGTAAACCTCACATTTAGTTTATTAATGTTATTTTGACCTCCAATTATTGAACACTTTTGTAATGTAATACCGCTCACCTACCACATCTCACCGACCGCTCGCCTACCTCCCACCTATCACTCTTTTGCTTCTATAAATAGAGAGGGTGTGAAGCGTAGGAGAGCAAGGGAATAGATCTTAAGCTACCACAAAGGAGGAGAGAATAGCTAGAGAGCTAGAGAGGATGAGAGCACCTTGAGGCCTTGTATCAAAGTGTCACTTGAGAGAGAGGCCATAGAAGGAAGATGAGGGCTCGTCTCTATGTATAAGCTATGTATTCTCCATTTCTTTTGCCTTCGTGAACTATTTAATTGATTCCCTCTCGTGGATGTAGATTCATTTTGATCGAACCACGTAAACGATCTGTGTTTGCTTGTGTTCTTTGCGTCTTATTTCTATGTCAGGAAGTACATATCTCACAACAATTGGTGTCGTCTGTGGGAAGATCCATACTTCTTGGCTAGAGGTGTCCGTGTAAAGGTGTTCGCAGCCAGCGACGAAGAAGAGGAGTTCGACATTCAACCAGAGGAGCAAGCGGATCGCGTCGCAGGCAGTCGAATCGCGACAGATTCTGTGAGCAGTGGAAGCTTTGATCGACTGGATTCGCAACGCAAGTTGTGTGGTTCGGCGAGACGGAGGAGGAACATTCCGCGAGCGAGAGCCGAAAATTTGCGACAGGGCTGCCAACAAAGGATTTCGGAGCAGGAGTTCAGTCTTGCGAGCAGTTCGGCCAGAGGGAAGAGGCGGAGATCGTGCAGAGAAGGATTTGTGGAGTTCCCTGTTCGGGAGTTCGCGAAGCAGGAGGACCTAAGCAGTTTGGCGAGGCGCGGCGGCTCTAGAGAGACAGTTATTCTCGTGCGAGAGGCAGAGGAGGAATTCCTGATTTGTTCCGCTGGACGCAGAGGAGTGCCTGCGGGAAGGAGGCGCGAACACATAACAGGAAGTTTTCTCCGGTGAACAGGTGTGAACTCTGCCAGAAGGGATCGAAGCTCTCCGTTTGGTTGGCGAAGGCAGTGAAGTTCACATGGAGAATATAAGAAATTTGGTGAGAATTTCTTGGACAGCAAGGCGTTAAAAGGCAGGTTTAGGCTGAAAACTTTTGATTGCTATACAATAGTACAACATTTTGGTGATTTCAGCGTAGTTCTTGGAAGGGCAGTAGGTAGAATTCATTTGAAGAAATCCTAGCCACAACAATGAGTTCTGTCAAATTCGATATTGAGAAATTCAACGGGAAGAACAAATTCGGCCTATGGAGAGTAAAGATGAGACCTCTATTGGTTCAGCA